TCCTGTAGAGTGGATCATCATCAACATGTCAAAGAAGAGCTGTGTTTCAACAGATTCACTGTCTCTACTGTGATTCTCCATCACCATATCTATAATGATCACCTTACCCATCTTCCCATTAACTTATATCACCGCTCTGCATTTCTTAAGTATCCTCATACATTCTTCATCGCTCCAGTCATGCAATATCCACTGTTTCACATTTTCAAAAGGCGGGGGAAAAGAAAAGAAAAGAAAAGAAAAGAATTGCATTTTATATGTCTAATCAAATTAATGACTAAATAGTGAAACAAACACCAGCTAGGTCATGTATGGTTTACCCTAAGTAGAACTGCATCTGCTTGAGGAATTACCTCGAACATGTTTCCTCCAATATAGTTCAAGTTGTTAATCCCTTTCAAGCGAGCAACAACATGCGGAAGATCTAGTACCGTGCAGTTCATGCTTAGGAAGCATTGAGTTATGGCCTTCGCCTTAGTTCCTGTGCCTCCTCCAACATCAACCATTGACTCCAATCCCTCAACACCCACTGAACTTGCGAAGCATGGCATCTGACTCTAGGCGAGAATCACATAACATGGTGCTGTTGAATAGGTGATTGAGCTTCGGGTTATGGCCTGCATACTTCTAAATAGCCATTCCATGTGCTATGTGAAATACGGTAGGATGGTCACTATGGAACCAGGTACTCAAATGACGCCCAGGCTCCATCTGAATTGGGTCAAGTGATAGAAGCAGAGAAAGGTCATACTCAAGGGATGGTCCTTACCAAGTAGCTTACTAGCACCAGTTAGAGCATAATGTCACGGATGATATCTCCGTGACTGTGTAAAGACCAATGTAATAAACGATTCGCTGGTTAGCCTCGCACTATATGGGTAAAGAGGGTGACATTGGCATTGGGGGTGTTCTGCCTCAGTCTTCAGACTGAGTGTACAACTGGTCGGGGGCTAGTGCCGCCTCCCTGATGAGCCCATGGCAGGGCGAAACCAGTGTGATCCGTATATGGTAAGCTTGTCCTGAGGATTATGGGGTCCTCCAGGACGCCGCACGGGCGCCGTGTACTGCGCCAGACTCTCAGCCCGTGACATAGTGGTATCACAACAGGACGTACTTTACTGCCGTGTGCTTGTGGGGTCCCACGTTGGGATTGGTCGACCTCGGCACCGCTCCAGGAAGGCCTCCAAGTAGGTGGGTCCAAAAGTGGGGACTCGGGCAGGAAGGTTGGCTGTTGTCGACTCCACTCCTGTTGGCTAGCGGGTGTGAGTGGGTCCGAAGAATGCATGACTCGGGTGGCCACTCAGCAGTAAGCTGATGTGTTTGTGGCAGTACTGTATGTGCGATCCTTGGGCGGAGTCTTTCTCCCCTAGCACGAGGGCGTGCTAGATTGGGTGTGGGAGAATGTCACGGACGATATCTCCGTGACCGTGTAAAGACCAATGTAATGAACGATTCGTTGGTTAGCCTCACACAATATAGGTAAAGGGGGCGACATTGGCATTGGGGGTGTTCTGCCTCAGTCTTCGGACTGAGTGCACAACTGGTCGGGAGCTAGTGCCGCCTCCCTGATGAGCCCATGGCAGGGCGAAATCAGTGTGATCCATATGTGGTAAGGCTTGTCCTGAGGATTATGGGGTCCTCCAGGACACCACACGGGCGCCGTGTGCTACGCCAGATTCTCAGCCCGTGACAATAAGCTTCTTCAGGTTCTTCATCACTATGTTTATTTCTATGGAAGAAACCCATTGCGTCAAAATGGACATGAGGCGTATGCTTTTGCAGGGTTGATGGGAACTATTGGGAAGGGAAGCTATGAGTTGAGAGACAGGCATGAAGGGTTGGGCATGGGCTTGGAACAACTCATTTACATCAAATTCATTTTGCAAATTGACTGTGTCGTCAACTTTGTGAGGCTTAATGGATAATGCCTAATATGTATGCATGTGGAGTGCTATAACAATGTCATGTCGGTTTATATAGTGAGAAATTTCGATACAACACCACCCTTTCCCCGCTCATGCGCTGCTGTGTTTTTATTTCTTGGGATCCATGTTTTGGTCCTTGTAGGTGATTTTATAATACGTATCTTCTGTAAAGCAGAGAGAAAAAAAAGAATGGGACGTAATAGAGAAATTTGATCCGCCATTTGTGGAATTCTTGTTGGATTTGCTCTGTTTCTCTGAGAAGGGGAAGGTGCGATGCAGTTTAGGTGAGTCATGTTCTATCTCTTGTTAGGTCTAAAAATATAGAACTGTATGTTGCTTGTTGATTCTCATCAGGGAGATGACTTTGTCCTCATTCTTCCGATCTTTTTTTTTAATTTCTAGCCATTAAATCAAAATTTTAAATAATTTAAATTTGATCTCCTTCAAAACATTTTATTTTACCTTACTTTTATTGTATTTTTAAATTGTTTTTATCAAATTTTAATAGTTTGAATTTTATTATTTATATGATTTATAATTTAATTTAATATTTAATAATAATTTATAAAAAATCAAATTTAAATCATTTAAATCTTGATTTAATAGTTAGAAAGAGAAAATAACACAAGAGGAGGGAAAAGAGGAGGAGAGAATCCATGGCCTCCACGTCATGACTCTCAACTATTGTTGACTTGTGCTGACACCAAATAATAACAAACTAATTGTAAAATATACTTACTTTTTGAAAAAGAAAAAAAAAAGCATACGTCTTTAAAAAAGAAGGTATTGCTTCTCATGCAGCTCTTCAAGGAATTTATGCTTGCTTGCTAGTTGCAGAATATTATTCTCTTCTTCTTTTGTTATTGTTAGGTTGTCTTCCTTATAATTAATGCAGTTCACCTCAAACTCCATGCAAATTAAGGCACATAAAATGATACATAGAAGATTTATACTATGACATATCTATATACAATGTAAAATTATAAAAAAAAAGTTGTACTATTTATATACAATGAATAGTGCTGTTGACTCCAAATTTCAAGCAAGAATATATTTTAATTTTTATTGAGAAAATATAAGAAATACTTTTATCATGTTCTATTAATCATAAATATGCTTTCTTATGTTTGTTAAAAATGGGAACAATGATGTTTAGATTCTCACAACATAATTAATATTCACAAAAATTATTCACAAATAAATATAAGAAAATGATAATTATGTTCAAATAGCAATGAATATTATATTATTTAATGAGTGAAATAGCTAAAATAATTTGAAACTTTTTTTTCAGGGCGTCTGGCATCTTAATTTTTTTTTTGAAAACATTTTTGCCTCCTAAAGTTTTAAAAACAAAGTATTTTTGTTTCATCGTTAAAAATAACAAACATTGACCGTTAACTAAAATTTGATCAAGATATTTTACGATTTTATCCTCTTTTGTTTCTATGTTTCTCACTCTTTATTTTTATTTATTGGAAGAAAAAAAAAGTTAAAGATTCACTAGAGAACAAAATCAAACACTAAACATAAAAGGAATGAGGGAAAAATATAAAAATGTGCTCTAAAAAAGTTTAGAGTGCTGAAAAAAAAAATTTCAAAGCATTTTTGTCCTAAAATCCTTATTTAATTATGTTGCTGGACTTGAATTCTCCTAAAAAAGTGACCTTTAAACTTCTCAGAAGTAATCCCTTTCTCTCCTTTACACATGGATGTCTTATATTTGAAAAATGATTATGTAAGAAAGAAATAAATAATGCAAGATAAAATGCATTTTTAACATTCAAATTAAAGAGATGACCATCCAACCGTTTCTGTATTAAACTAATGATCTCGCATTTTAGCCAAAAAAAAAACCATTAATCTCTAACACTAAACTTTATAGGTGAGAAATTTTTATTCTTAGTCAAACCTCACATCAATGTTTTAAGATCCGGACCGACTCGGACAGTCAAATCAGTTGGACTGTCGCCCGCTGAAGAAAATGAGCTGGTTCAACTGATTAACCTATATTAACAGTTGGCCCGGGTTGGATCGCCTAGAACCGGACAGTTTTTAAAGACCCAGGAAAAACCTGGAATCGGAGCGGGTTTTGAGGGTCAAAAGCGGGTCAAAAAAAAAGGACAAAATTGATATTTTGAAAAATAAAAAACCCTTCTCCTCACTCTGTCCAGTAGACCAACACCTATAAAGACCTATTGTTCTTCTTTTCAGTCTCATTTCTCTCTGTCTCACATGATGCACACACTCGTTCTCGTCACCTTGTCAAATCTCAACCATCTGGGTTCTGTTTTGTGTGTCTTCTCTCTCAAGCCACTCAGCCATTTGGGCTCTGTCTTCATCATCTTCGCCATTCAGCCATCTTGGACTCACCTTCTCAACTATTTGAGTTTTATGTTCACCTTTCATTGTCTTCATCATTCAACTTCAGCTATCTTGGACTTTCTCAAACTTCAAATGCTTCTTCATTCTTTATCTTCACTTCACTTTCATCATTTCGATTCGTGACTTCGTATTCTTGGTTAACTCTAGTGTAGGCGTCCAATTGTTGAAGATAATCAGATGGTGTCGAGGTCGACCCCTTTCTTCATTCTTCATCTTCTTCATCGATTGCCCTTTCTCTCTCTCAGTCTTGGTAACATTTTCTTTCTCCCTCATTTATATCTCTACCCAATTTAATCTAATCTCCATGATTCTAAATGGAGTAGAATGAATGCTAATGGATGAGCTTACTTTTTATTATCTGGGTTAGTTATTGCAAAATAAAGGATTGCTGAATGGATGAAGATGAATCTATTTTTTATTGTCTAAGAGTTGTTTATTGCAAATAGAGGTTTTATTTTTTTTCAAGTGATTGTACCTAAATCTTGATACATTCAAGAATCTAATGTTGTATTTTTACTAACTTATTTCTTTTTTATATATATATAAATAATTTTTTATTTAATTATTCGGTCCAACCACCAACAATTAACCATGAGACCCATAATTTATTAATATTTTCAGTTCGCTATTCAATTTGAGTTTTAAAACATTGCCATACGTAAACTAGCGTGAGTGCAAAATGATAAAGTGAGAGTTAATAGTGAATGGAAGGAACTTCATGCGGAGGACGAGACGGTCACAGTCCCACCACTTTCCTTACTTTCATTTCGCTATCGTTCTAGTCGCCACGGTACTCAGCGCGCAGCAACACTTGTTTACAGAAGTTGCTCGAAATTTCTTCAATTCTGAGCAATTTCTCCCATAATTTTGATGGGCCAAAACTACTGAGACATGGTGGTCCTGCCAGTGGTGAAGCTAGGAACGCTCGCTTTAAAGACACTATGCAAACCTATAGCCAATAGGCTCAAGAGGGAGGCTGGCTATCACCCAAAGTTCCGTCAGTTCATCATCAGCATTGCCCAGGTCCCTTGGATTTGTTATCCATTTTTAGTTTCTTTAGATTTGCTTCGTCTCTCCATGATATGGGTTTGTTTTTCCCCTTTTAATCTATCTGTTGTGTCTTTGCTCTCAATACTGTTGAATTCTTGTGCGATCACTTTTCATCTAGACTGAATTTTTAATTCTTGGATTTGGTATTCTTGTTATTTTTGGTCATGAAAAGGCCGCTTGCGATATGGGCTGATTTTTTATTTCCTTTCTGTATTTAGTCTGATGCTTAACTTCTCACACAGTAACTACGTGGTTCTTTGTTAGGCGAATCATAGATTCACAACAACATTGCAGAGACGCATATATGGTCATGCGACTGATGTTGCCATACGCCCCCTGAATGAAGAAAAAGCTGTCCAAGCCGCTGCAGACCTTCTTGGGGAACTCTTTGTGTTCGCGGTAATCATAGGGATGGAATCATCGATGTTCTGCATATTTTATCGTTCATAAAATGCTGTCTAGCATGTTTCTAGGTTTTATTTTTTTGTGTCTATGGTCTCCAAGGGCAGAGATATGATTTTTCCTTTCTGCTTGTGCCGAGAGTCCTTCATTGTTTCATTCTATTAATTTCTTAACATAAGCTTGTTTTGGATTTTGGGTTTGATTAGAGGGACTCACAAGAAAATCTAACAAAACCCACAGGAATGGGACTTCTTATTCTTTCCTAATAGTTCTTTGGTTTTCTTCCTATACACAAAATGAATGTAAGCTTATGTTACTTACGAATCAGTTGAAAGTTTATCCTAACAAAGAGTCACATGAGTTATTTAACTGCTAATGAAAGTAAACATTTCCCGTTCACGATGTTTGATACTGAATAAGACTGAACTAATTAATTCAATTGATGTGCACTAAGAGACCCTTTACAATATTATTCGTGCATTTGGCATATTCCTTGACTAAATCATAAAAGGAAATGGCCATGTCTTACATATAGCAGAGTTGATCAGCCCTTTAGAAAATTTGAATGGCACAAACACGATTCCTAAACACTTCTAGTAAAATAATGGTGAGAATCTTTTGTTTAATTTTATCTTTTTATTCTTGCTTTTGTATTGAGAGAAGTAGATTCAGTTCAGTTAACTTGGTTTTGATCTTTCTAGTATTAATATAGTGAGCTGTATTCTTGCTCAAATCTATGCATATGGCTCTGCGGACTAGATTAATTTTGTAGATACTGCCCCTACATAGACCCCTCAGAGGTGTGGCTTGTCCAACCAGGAACTCAACCCAATATATTTGTAGTGCTGTTTTGAGCCTCATAAAAAATGGTCGTTGGCTGTACAAGTCTTAAGCTATGGGCTGGTTTCATGGCTGCGGGTGGTTTCATAGCTGCTGCTGGAGTGAAACTCTGGACGGGAATTCACTGGTGTAACACTGACTATAAACATTGGAATTGGTTCCCTCAAGAAAGGCCAAGAGCTCATTCATGCTCTTTTTGTGCATACGTTTGCATAGGGCATAAGATTTCTTATGATTACATGGAGTGGACCTCAATGAGGTAGTTATCTTGTTTAGAAAAGAAATTGAACCAGTGCACAATATTTTTAAGTAAAATTTAATTGGAGAGACTAATTTTCTGTCCATTGGAGTTGTGCAAATTCAAATCTAGATGTGCTTGAACATTCTATCGACAAGGAAATGTCAACAAGGAGGTTCATCTAGTCTGTGTCCTATCATTTGCTCAGAAGTTTTGCGAACAGATGGAACCTAGTTGAAATCTTATCTTGTTTACCTTTTTCTAACCAAACTAAATATTGAAATTATTTGTAAGCAGAAGTACCTTCTATAATTTGAACTAACAGCTACCAAGTCAGATTATAGTTGTTAGTTATCTTGCAATCACTGTTTGATTTGCCTAAATTTCTTCCTTACGATAATAGTAATATATGCCAAGTTTTTTTGGTTTTGTTTTTTGGGTGCAAATTATCATAATTCCCATCTTCATCAGAAGGTCCCTCAAAAAGGAGTGTCTATAAAGTGAATTTCCTTACATTTAGGTTGCAGGAGCTGCTGTCATCTTTGAGGTGCAAAGAAGTTCTAGATCAGAAGCAAGGAAGGAGGAAATACGTAGGCAGGAAATACAGGTTATCTTTGAGGCTTACTCCCAGTTTTGTATATTATCTGATATGAGTGTAGATTATAGAGGGACTTCACTGAAGCAAAATTTGTCTTCTTGTAGTCCTTGGACATGGTACCATTTACATATGTTTTTACTGACTGTCAAAACTTGTGGAGGTTTTAAATTGAAAATGGGATGCATTATTGATACCCTGTTTTCCATAGGAAGGGGTGTAAGCAGCTGTTGAGGGCCACAATATTTTAATCTAAAATATGTGCTCTTCTTCCCCATTACTTTATAGGTTATAAAGGATGGGAATGAAAACTTAGCCAGAGAAGTTGAACTTCTTAAACAAAAACTTGAAGAGCTGGAAGAACTTGCTAGAGGACGAGGACTAGCTGGCATCCTTAACTTCAGGCACACTCATGCAAGTGAAGACAAAAAAACAAGACCCAGCTAACTGTTGCAACTAGCATTGTGCATGGCTTGCGGTAACTATCGACTAATCTTTTTTCAACCGTAGTTCTTAGTCTGAAACAGATCTAATTTGTTCACTTTCCCTTGACTATCATAGGTTCCAGATCCTCACAACCTAAATTTTGCAAAAGCTTTAAAAAGTAATACTAATAAGGGGAGGCCCCTCTGATTATTGCCCCAATACTGAGGGGATGCAGAAGAACGTCAGAGGGAGGGCAGCAGAGTGTCCTGGGCTCCTCATCTTAATTTCATAAATATACCATCAGTCCCTTGTTCAAGTTTGCCTCTTATCTAGTTAGTATTTTGTCATCGTCTTGTGTTACTCTACAAGACTACCCTGCCCGTTATGTTTCAACTCTTCTGTCTGGAAACACGCCTCATCTCTTGGATGCAGATGCCTATGCTACTAATTCCTTTTTGATGCAGTATGGTGGCTTATCACATTATTCAGTTTCTGCTCAAGCAATTCCATAAGTAATTTATATATTGCATGACATGATCATGTGGAAGGCCAAAAGTTTTTGTCAATGGGCTAGTGGCTCTGTTCTTAGTTCTTACCATGTTTTTGCAGGAGATCAACGGCCTCCGCAAGACTATATTCTTTTTGGAAGGATACCCACGTGGAGATTCTTAATGCCTGCAATGATTTAAGTTTGACTGTCTCCTCCACGAATGCGAAATTCATCCAGAAACTTTTCTGCCTTATTTGTGCTGATTATGTGAAGCACTCTCACAGAATCACAAGCTTTTTGGTACTTGCTTGTTGATTGAGAATTGACTGGTGGCCAATGAAATGATGATTTGATCTGCTGGAATAGATGTTGATGTTCATTCTTAGTGGGAAGTGGGAAGGGAGTTGAAATTTCAATAGAAAGCAAATATCAATGGGGAGAGAGTTGAAACCATTCATAAATTTGGGAATTAAAGACTCCTATAAAGTTGTTGAACTTACAGGCCCTTTCAACCTTATCGCAATGTCGCGTGAAACATATAAAAGGAAATTATCAAATGACTTGGTATGTTGTATGTTTCGCACAATATACATCTGAGTCTATTGAGAGAAATTCTTAGGTAGGCGATATGCTAGTTCATTTGTGATCTGTCTAATTAAAATATTTTAAGTTATTTAAATAAAATCTTTTATAATATTATTTTAATTAATTTTATTCTTATAAAAAATGTGTGTAATTTTTTATCATTATTATTATTATTATTAATGTTTTAATTAATATATATTTAATATTATTTAAATGTTATGTTTTTATTGGATAGATTATAAATGACGTGACATATTTAATTTATCTAAGAATTTTTCACTCTGGTGATGGAAGATTAGTATTTTTGTAAGAGAATGTTTAGAGAGTTCTTTTGCTCCTAATTATAATAAACAACATTTTTTTGTCTGAAACACTTATTATATTTTTTCTTTTGTAATTTTGTTGAAAAATATTATTTGTTAATAAAATTAATTTTAAATTTTTAAATATTAGTTATTTATGTTTTTTAAATAAAACGGACTTGAGAAGCATGACTAGGTATAAAACATCATTATCTTATAAAGTAAAGTAAAATACCTTATCCTTCATTTTATTTTACTTTAATTATAGATACTTCTTTATCTATTTTTGAAATCTATAGGAATCTCTCCTAATATAAATAGTTAGAAAATTAAAAGAATATTTTTTTTATTTTTAAGATTTTATTTTGATCCCCCCAATGTTAGTTGACTATTGAGTGCATGTGATGGACCATAACACCCCTCTTTATATATATGTATATATATTATCTCAAAATCATTCAAATTACCCAAAAAAATTAATTCATATTTTTTTTTACTTTTTTATTCATATTTTAATTTTTAAAATTATTTGTATACATTCATTTAATCATTTTTTCAGAAATTAAATAAAATAATATTAGATACACAATTAAAAATTTATGAAATAAGAATTTAATATAATAAGTTGCCATATATAATTTTGGGAGAATTTTAATTAAGGATTAGAGATGTGATTTAATTATTACTTATTAATAGGTCTCAAAAAATTTAAAACTTTAGTTCAGTTTAGGATGATTGAATTTCAATGGTAGAAAGATTAAAGTACTTTTCATTTGTTAATTTTGTTTGGGATGTAGAATATTTAGTTATTAATTTTCTTATTTTATTTGTTAATTTATAAATATGAGCAGTAAATTATATCAATTTATTAAACAAGTAACAAAATCAGTTGTTAATTTACTAATTTTACTCATTAATTTACTAATACATGATATTAGTAAATTAACAAGTAAAGTTAATAATTTAATAATTGATGTTGTTATTTGTGATTGAATAATTAATATTTAAGTCTTCTATAATTATTAATAGGTCAATTTATGTAATTTATAACTTATATTAATAAATTAAAAAAATTAACAATTAATGATTCTACATTTTAGACAAAATTAATAAGTAAATGATACTTTAATTTTTTTATCATTAAAATTATTTTTACTTTAATTTTCTTAGATTGAATTGAAATTTTAAATTTTTTTAAAACTCACTAATAATTAAGTCACATCCTTAGTCTTGAGTTGAAGTTTCTCCTAAAATTCTATTAATTTTAACACAAATTTTTAAATTATTTATTTAAATATTGTGATACTTAATTATTTAAAATTTTTTAAAGTTATGAGAGAGGGAATAGACAATTAGATCATAAGAGAAAATTAATAATTAAATTTTTTAACATAATTAAAAGTAAAAAGTTAAATAATTTAGAATCTTTAATAGAATATTCTTAATGGTATTAAAAATTGGACTAAAATATACTCCCTCTTTTAAAAATATAAAAAATTTTAAATATTTTAAGATATAATTATTATCTTTTTTTAAAGTACTTTTAAAAAATAAATCACTTTATATTTATTATAGAGTAAAATTTTTTATTAAATAAGGGTTAATATGAAAAGATGATATTAACTTAAAAATAAATAATTATTTTATTTAAAAATAGGATTCAATTAAAAATGTTTAAAATGAGAGGGTAAATAAAAAAAAAACTCTCCATAATTTTAGTAAAAAAAAAAGAAGTGATTATATTTTGGTCTATAAATATTGTACCAAACGGCGGGTAATGCTCACCTCCTCGCGGTTGCCAAAGAGTCCACGCCAACTTTCTTCAATGTCCGCATAGTAAGGACACATCGGTAATTTTGACTGCTTTTGGACGTCCAGAGTACGCAGCTCTGTATTTTTCCCCGGAAACAGTAGAGTGTATCCGGCAATCCTGTTCCAATTCGGAGTTTTGACTACGCTTCACCAAACCATTCTTCCAGGTGATTCTCGTATATCCCTTTCCTACGTGTTTTGCTTTGTTGTGTTTGATTTCTTTTTGCCTTAATTCAAGTTTCGAACTTAATGGAATTAACGTATGATGACTCGTGACTGTTTATTTTTTATTCAGGGATAAATAGTTGAGGAGTTCGAGTTCAATACCGTCGAACTTTCAAGGCGACTTAGTAGAGTTTGTAACATTTACAGAAAGGGAAAGATGGACGATAGTTTGAAGAACCAAGTTGGATCTTCATCTGACCCCTCCATGAAAAATAAGGCGAAACAATTGGTTGATGATCTTCAAGGAATCTTTGTCAAGCTTCGAACTGCAAGAGAGGAGAACAGGGATATAGTCATCTTTGAGGAGCAGGTACATCAGATGCTTCAAGAGTGGAAAACGGAATTGAACAAGCCATCTCCAGCTTCCTCCTTAGCTGTATGTATCTAAATTAGCTACAGTTTAATAACTGTTTGTTGGGAGGTTCCTCGATCAAAATTGACATGTTGAAAAACTTCTTATGGAAGAAACATTAATCATGTGGTGTTGAAGTGTGAAAAATTATACTCGCGTCATGCATTTGGTAGAGAACATAATATTTGAAAAACAGGACCTAGGTTATGCTTGTCCATCGATAAATACCATATCCTGCTCTTAAATGATTTGTAAATCATCAAAATATATGCCGGTGTTGTCTAGGATGGAAATTTTGGATTATTTCCAGAGGAATTAGCCCAACTTTTGCAAGAGCTTGAGGAGGAAGACAATGCCACTAGTGAACTGGCAAAGAGTGCACCATTGAAGACTGAGCCAGATCTTCATAACACCAATGACAGCAACCATTCATCATTTCAGGACGTGAGTTCTTTTCAATAGTTCTAGAGGGCTTCCTATGGTTTATAGTTGCATGGCTGATTATTAATTTGAAAACATGACTTAAACTTTGTTGTTATCACCCTTTTTTTTTTTTTGTGAAGATTGTTATCACCTATTTGTGCTTCCTAGTGTTATGCTTTCAGTATAGTTTTTTTCTTTGAGTTACAGAATATCATATAGAATATGTGATTTGGTGTAGTTTTTGTGAAATGACAACGACAAGCATGCAATAGTCATAGTTTTGCTAGTGGAGCTCTCCTTTGCCTAGATCAAGAAAATTCAAGAATCACATGTTCAGTTATTTTCAAACGTGGGTTTATCATGTCTAGCTGAAGATAATTCATTTGCTACCTTTATCTAAGGCATTGGCTTCTGTGCAGTGTGGATGTTTTTTGTTCCTTATATTTGATCTTTTGAAAGCTTTAACCGGTTCATCTTTTATTTGTTTGCGGTTCTTCATAGATTTTGTCGATTATTAATAGATGCTATGTACATCGCAGAAGTGTTCTGGTGAGGACCAACAAGGTCATGCTCTGGAAGACTTTTCCCAATATGAAGGAGCTGCTTCAACTACAAACAGCCAAAACGCTGTTAATAACTTAGTTATGATAACTCAATCGGATGACCATCAATTCAATTTAAATCAAGATGTAAATTACTTCACAGGAGGTCATAAATCTGATTTGATTGAACAGTGCGATATATATCAGGAATACAGGCAAAACTCAGCAATAAAAAGCACGGATCCAGATCAATTTATTTTAGATGACAATTTTGATTGCAATGTTTTTGTTGGAGTTGATGATATCCAACAGTCTGGAGAGGATATTATGCCTAATATTCTTCCAAATATATGCCCTCCACCTTCTGCTTTTTTAGGCCCGAAATGTGCTTTATGGGATTGCTTTAGGCCTGCTCAAGGGTTAAAATGTTGCCAGGACTACTGCTGTAGTTCGCATGAGCTTTTGGCAAATAATGAGGGTCTTCCTGGCATGACTCCAATTTTGCGTCCTGGGGGCATTGGCGTTAAGGATGGTCCTTTGTTTGCTGCTGTTAATGCGAAGACGCTGGGTAAGGAGGTGGGCATCCCTAATTGTGAAGGTGCTGCTTCAACTAAATCCCCTTGGAATGCTCCTGGTAAGTTTGCATGAACTCTTATTCTTTGTAAGTATCTCACTGTGTAACTTGTTCATGTAATCTTTTATAGACTTCTAGCATCATGTTTGCTTGCATGAAGTGTAGTGCAAATTTTTTGTTTCTCCCTGGGCTGTTCAATGCAGCTAGTCGTCAGTATTGTTCTAGTTTGAATTATTGGCTTCTCCGTGTTGTTGCAGAGTTATTTGATCTTTCTCTTTTTGAGGGTGAAATGGTGCGGGAATGGCTCTTTTTTGACAAGCCTAGAAGGGCTTTTGATAGTGGAAACAGAAAACAAAGATCACTCCCAGATTATAGCGGACGTGGTTGGCATGAATCAAGGAAGCAAGTGATGAAGGAATATGGGGGACAAAAGAGGTCCTATTACATGGATCCTCAGCCTCTAAGTTATCTTGAGTGGCATTTGTATGAATATGCAGTGAATAAGCATGATGGTTACGCATTATATAGACTGGAATTAAAGCTTGTGGACAAAAAGAAAAGTCCTAAAGGAAAAGTGACCAAGGAATCTCTTGCTGATATACAGAACAAGATGGGAAAGCTAACTGCCGATGTTCCGTAAAAAAATGACCAAGATCCTATGTGATGGATAACCAATGGCCTAGTGTGGTACTGGCAAATATTGTGTCTCGTGAAAAAAATTGGGGGAAAAATACACTCCGTAGGTTGGTTTTGCCAAATGTAGATCTTTGGGCATGCATGACAACATTTGGAAACTCTTTGACATTCATTGGAAATGTCATATGAGTATTTTAATGGGTGAACGAGTCCAATTACAAGTTCATCTCATAGCTATTATACTGCTTTTGGATATTGGTGTCATAGAAACTAGTCAATCTTTTCTTGCTAATAAAATGTTTATTCCTTAGGGTAATATAATTTTTAAGGTAAAGGTGCAAATTTGGTCATATACTATTTTTTAAAGAGCATCTGGTAGCTTAATTTATCAAATGATGTAAAATAAATTATGAACTTTCAAAAATGAAACATCTAGTAACTTATCGTTAACTTCAACTGACAGACGTTATGTAGGGTTATAATGACACCCATCAACATGATAAAGGTGTTTTAGTCATGAATTATGTTTCGAGGAGCATTATGTAACCTTTACTATAAAAAAAAGATCATCCAACACTTTTTCCTTAATTTTGACTAAGCATTATTTATTTTCATACTTATGAAACTCATAAAGCATCAATCTCTTCGATTTTCTTATCTTTGTTTTCACTCTCAACTCAAGAAGAAGATGCTCAAAAAGTTCTTATTTAAAAACATTTATGAAGACGAACTAACAAAGTAGAAAAAATAATTTGTGATTAAACTAAGCTAGAATGAGGCTTCTTCCATACGTAATAAAACCAAACTTTTATTTCATTGGCATCATTCTTGTAAATGTCTTTAAATAAGAATTCTATGAATCTTTTCTTCTTGACTTAATATTGAGAATGAAGGCAAGAATATTGGAGAGTTTGATACTTTATAGACTTTATAAATATGAAAATAAATGGTGTTTAATCAAAATTAAGAAGAATGCATTGGATGGTCCTTTTTTTATAGTACAGACTACCTAATACTCCTCAAAAGATAGTTTATGACTAAATTTGCATCTATCATACTAACATATCATGCTCCATCCGTGTCATTATAAGCCCCACATAACATTCGTTAGCTAAAGTTAACGACGGGCTATTAAATGTTCTATTTTTAAAAGTTTATAATTTATTTTGCACTATCTAATAGTTTAAGATATTAGATGCTTCTCGAAAAATAATATATAATTAAATTTGCACCTTTATCCTAATTTTTATGAGGTGGTGATATGGAAAACTGGTCCTCTCAAAAAGTGAAAAAAAGTAAAATACTTTAGAGAACTGAAATTCCTATGCTCACAACATTTTGCATTCTGCCTTCAGAATTTTTCTTCCAATATGCTTTGGCAGGGAAAAAAAAATAATGTTCTTATTGCTAAAGTCGATTGGCCCACTTGAAAGAGGAGGCGTATGTAAAAAATTGAGTTCTGGTGGAGTTGATTATTAGGTTGTGAATAGTTAGTAGTTTGTTCATTACTTCTCCCCTTGGCTCTTGCTAAAGATATCTCCATTCCACAATAAACAAAATAGAACCCATAATCTCACGGTGTCTCATATTTGAAACATAATTGATAAAATGTATAAATATAATAAATTCTCCATGGAGAAAGATGCTGACACGCTACCAATAAGGTCCTATTCTTGGATTTTTAGGTACCTTGTTTCTTGGTGTCACAAATAGCTAGCGAAACAGGGATACGCTAATGCAACAAATTACTGAGATCGAAAAGCTTCACTGAGAGTGTTAAAGTAATTATGTTTAATCACAGAGAGGCAAAGGCAACTCTTCGACAAATGACATGTACCCGTCCAAAACAAACAACCTTTCTTTTGGAGAGAAGTCTGTGCTGCAAAGCTTTTCATTGATGAGTCCGCAGCTGTCAAGGTCTCAAGGATTTGCTTCAACAGAGAAGGCTTCAACAGAGAAGGCAAACATATCCTAATTTTATGTGGGTTATAAACTGAAACGTTATCCCCTTTGCAACTTCTCTTCAATTCAATAGGAGAGTATTCAAAGAATAAAATTCCAAATGCACAAAATACACTTCACAACAGAATTCTGGGCAAAACAGCCTCTAATAGTAATAACCAAAATGAAAATTTTATTATATATTCCCTCCGTTCAAAAATATAAGGCGTTTTAACCTAATCTCACCTCCCGATGTAGTTACTTATTTTTAAACTAACTCTATCTTTTCATATTTACCCCTATTTAATAGGATGTTTCACCCCAAAAAAAATATAAAGTGATCTATTCAATAGGGGCACTTTTGAAAAAAAAAGGTAATGATTACACTTTAAATGACTAAAAATGTCTCATATTTTTTAACATCCAATCTCTTAAAAAATACTTTACATTTTTGAACATAGGAGTACTTTCTAAAAAGGTAAAACTTAATAATAATTGTTAGTCGTAAAGAACAACTACACTTCATGCATCTAATCCGGTTCATGCTACATATAGATCATTAAACATAAACATCTCTTGTTTAGGCAGTTTTATTTGTCCAACTGCTGTTACTTACAAGCTAAAATGTTACACTCATCAATATATCGATATATGATAAGATTTGTAACAATCTGCGTTATTCATCAGTCACGAATAATACAACTCATTTTTCAAATATATATTATACGGAGCCATGTTTAGCTGACACAGAAAACTAACGACCACATTTTGCTAGGTATGCTCACATTTTGCCATCAGCAATCAATGTTCAACAGAAGCCCAGGAATTTGAGTCGATCCAGTCATAAGCAATAGGGCTCAAAAAAGCATCAGGAATACCAAAGGAACTGACCAGGGCGAGTGCATGTGGTCGAAGTTCAGAAGAGAGTTTTGTCACTTCTTTCCTTACTGCAATAGCTTCATCTCTTGAAAAGTATTTATATCGGAGGAAGGAAGCATCTTCATCCAAGCAAATCAAAGCATACATGGATCTCAAAAGCCCTAAGATATTCTGCCGATTAAACATATGCAATTATGAGTAAATGGGCTTGTTTAACCTCTTGAACTCAGTATCCAAAAATCCTAGCTGCATTTTATAGCACGCATTTTAAATGAAGGGGAAACAAAATCGAGTTTTACTTATACCTTCAAAGAACCAGCTGGTAAAGCAGATTCAGCATCCATGAAGGTTTGCAGCATTGCTCGTTCTGAGAAAGCTCTACCTAAGTCCTCAGCAAGCTGAAAACTCTGGTACAGAAAAGAGTTTCGAACTGTAAGACAGAGAAGGGATGAAGGGATAATTGACAAAACAGGGAAGAATCTTGTTCTTACTTGAATGAAGGCTGACTCTGCACTTTCTCCCTGAGCCTTATATTCTGATACCTTAGCAGCAAAACGACTCAAAAGATCTCGCTCTCTTAAACGGAACATGTCAATCTGTGTAAATAAGAGGTAAGCAATGTGCCAAAAAATAATAAGAGGCAAGTAGTAAATTTCAACCTGATCATCCAAATTCAGAAGGTCCCATGAAATCACCTGATATTGGTTGCTCCTTATGGTAGAACTAGTTAGCAGTGATGGGATAACAGGCTGAGGTTTGTTCATGTACTCCAATCCCAAACCAGCAAATGGTTTGTTTTTCTTCTGATTTGCTATGTATTCTGCAAGAAGTGCTTTGCTGACCTGTGTTGAAATATAGCACCAATGAATTTTATACATCAAATAGAACAAAGAAAAAAGTTTGAAAGGAAGCTTAAAATTAGCATGAATAAAATCTCATGAAACTCAAGTTCTGGGTATGCAACTGTGTTAAATACTCATTGGAAGAGCTTCACCACCAATGTGATCCTACCCAGCTTAGCCCATGAATAATGTGTAATTGTATTTAAAAAAAAAAAATCCTCATGAAACTCAAGTGGTGCCAACATAGAAGTCCTAAGTGCTTAACAAAGTTTGCAAATCTCAAATCCCAGAAAATAGTATGTTTTAAATATCCCAGGTAAACTAAACAGTATAATTTAATATGTAAAATATATTCATTTCTGTCAATACACCTAAAAAACCTAAAAGTTTAAACTATTAGGTCAGACTAAGAATATATTGTCTTTGATGGGTAGTAAAGTAGAATATGAAGCCTTCACAGCCAGAATTCATTTATTACTTTTCCAGCAACACAACAAAACTTCGAGGCTAGGGGGAAAAAAAAGTGCTTAAATATGGTACATCATAATCAACAGTTTACTACAGCGTACCTGCTGCATCAGAACATGGTTGTCCCCCTCAAAAGTTGACTGCACATCATATTCACCCATCAAATGACCAACACGATTTTCAGTTTTATAACCTTGTCCACCACAGGCTTCACGACATTCCTGGTTTGTGCATAAATAGAACTTTTGTGAGTTTAATAACAAATAATTTATCAAACCTAACTATAATTTCTATACTTACCTGAAGAATTCGCATATTATTCCATGTAAATGTAGCCTTGTATGAACTAGAAACAACATGAATGGTTTTGTTTGACTGAGGTGACCTTTTCACATACATCATTTTTAAGTCATTTGCAGCAAAACTCATTGCATATCTGCAACACAGAGGACGGAAATGAACATCAACAGGTCAGGCCACTATGCATCTGTCAATGGTCAAACCAGCATAGTGACCTTTTACTGTGTTCAGAGTCTAGAAAAATTGGTCACATAGAGGAAGTGGGGGGAGCAAAATGCATGTGTTTTCCAAGAAGGCAAAGTCCACCGTCAATACACTTCAGTTGCCTAATACATTCAATGGCTACATTTCACTTGATATGGTGGTTGGTTATTGAGTTCAAGAAACATGCCCCTATCCATTCATAATTTCATAAAATGTTTTCTGCAAACGTTTAAACAATATCAGTGATATGGTTAATTATTTCCTACATGAGAAAGATATTGAGCACAGTCACAACAATAAAATGATATCTAAAAACCATTTACTACATCTAAGTTGAACTTCCAGCTTATTTGATTTACTCTGGAGCTTGCAAGATGGGATTCCAAGAAATTGGTCTGGTCATAACTTTCTTTTGTTGAAATTAAATATGGTTTTCAATAAGTTCATTTTGTTAATGCTAAGTAAAGGAACTAAAGTTACTAAACAAGTTTGGAAGGCATTTACAGATCACGTGCACATAGAAACACTTTTGCCTTTAAGAGACTCTGGATGGTCGGTGGTCTAACATTATAGGGGGTAAATCTTTAATGGCATAATTAAGCACGTGGTGCCTGAAAGAAAAAATTCAATTATATAAACAGGCAGCCTCATCATAAGGACAGGTGGAACTCCCAAGCTATTTTTCATGACTAAAGATCTGCAACATAGTCACAAGTCCTTTCTTACATCTACATCCTGGAATAAATCGTCAATTGTATCAGGCAAGTAATAATTTCATGCCATTCTAATTTCCTCATTTCATAGCACTCTTCTAGCCTTGGCTTGCTGCACAACAAGAAGTATCTGCCTTATAGTAACAAAAAAACAACTTAGCAATTACCTGAAAAATAATGACTATAATTAAAGTAGACTGAAATTCCTCTAAATTTTCAAAGAAAAGCACAAAAGAAAAATTCTTGGGGCCCTCATGTTGCCGAATGATTTGAACTTTTAAATGGTATATATTTACACCAAAAGCCAGAAAATTAGACAACAGTAAGAAATGACTGCTCAGTTTATCTCTCACTAAATGTTGCTTACTGAAAGAATTGAATGCAATGAAAAAGTCTTTCTCGGAGAACTTACACTTTTGCAAGTAAAGGCATTAAACGCTGCTGATGAATTGGGTAATCAAGCAATAGGACTTCAGGCCCATTTGGTGTAATAGAAAAGGCCCGCCTTGTCAATGCATACCGTATGGCAATGGCTAAGCTAATCTGGAAGCAAATGATTGATATGACAATGTAAGATGTTGAATGGAAGGAACATGATCAGATGCCCAAGGCATAGTAAAGGCACCAAGTACATTACCTTGGACACGTAAACAGCACTGACAGCAATAGTTACACGGCCAAAAGTCAACGGAGCCAAGAATGCTGCAAACCTCTGGAGCAAGAATGACATCCAATACAAGACATTTGGCAAAGATTACTCAAGGAGAGAAGAAGAAAACAAACAGACCAAAGAGGATTTTAGCCCTCCAATAAAATAATCACCTGATCTGGATCCTTTATTGCACTCAAATATTGGCCGTTTGACGAAACATCAGCCACTGAATTCAACAAATTCTCCCTGGGTATTCTCACGTTGTCAAACCTAAATATAAATGTCCAGAACATTTGAAGGTTAACATTTTTAAAATAAAAAATACATAGATAGACCTTGTAAAAAACAAAAGGAGTTGTTATTACCATATACGACCATTATCAACTCCATTTAAACCAATTTTATGACCACAATCAGCTATTCTGATGTTTGGACATGTGTTTCCATCTGAGTCCCTGATTTGGGCAATAAATGCATGGACACCTTGGTTGCTTCCATTAATGTTGAGTTGCGAAAAGACTATGGTATGTGTTGCATGCTGAATATAAACAAAAGGATAAATGCTAATACTAAAACAATCTTATGACGAATAGATTCCTAAAATAATTATAAAAAATGATGTAAAAGCAATCTCACTTTTCCCGCACCCCCTATCCAATACTTCTGAGCAGATTCACATGGAGTATTAATGACAAACTCCCCAGTGATTGAATCATAGGTAGCAACTGTTTCAATTCCTCGGACCTATAAACATTAGTGCAAAAAGAATTGTTAAGATTGACAAGGCAGCACATAATAAGCCACATATGGACCCCAATACTCAAGCCTGATCGAACAACCTTCACATACATTACTTCCATGGCCCAACTCCGTCATAGCAAAACAACCCTTGATCATATAATTTTCAGTGTCTCTCAACCACTTGTCATGATGGCGCTTGGTTCCCAGAAACCGTATGGCTCCACCCCTGAGATCAATTATACATCAGAGATACTAGCAGTTAGATCATCCGTTACATTTGACATTTTAAGAAATTCAAATAACAACTTCTCTGATCTACTTTTACTAGCAACATGTGTCGTCTTTTACAGAAGGGGCCAAAAAAAAAAAAAACACCACCACATCCCTCAAAAACTATGAACTTCTTTCTTATTCACAACGGCAATATAAACACCTCTTCTCACCCTCCTAAAACTGAGAAAACAATAAGCATACCACAAGAAGAAATGGACGCCAAGCTTAATAGCGATGGCGTGGTCATACATCCCAAGAACCTCATGGAGCGCAAACCTCCTTAGTTCGAACTCAGGCCCCGTACCCGTAAGCCAACCTTGGAAGACGCCACGATCCAACAGGTACTCAATGCGCTTCATAGTCATCTCTCTTTGCTGTTCCATGGACTGGTTATAATCGGGAGAGACGAAGACCCTACCCCCCAATCTCTTAGGGTTGAAGAGGTTGCTATGCATGATCAAGCTAAACAACCAATCCCGATCGTCCAGATTGTGACCGTCCATGAGCTTCCGCATATGTTTGATGTCGAAAGCAAAGGGCTCGGACACTTCCGGCGGAGAGTAATGGAGGCAGGCGTTGGGTCGGAGAATTGACGGCGAAGAAGAGTGAAGGAGGTGGCCGGAGAGCACCCGGGTTCGCCATGAAGCACGGTCCATGGGAAAACGAAGAAACTAAAAGCTATGAAGGAAAACACACAAGTCAGACAGAGATGATGATATACGTTAATAACGTCTCAATTCTCAATGGGGCGACTTTAGGAAGAAGGTGGGGAAGGATAGGATCAAATGGAGAGACCTTAATATTTTATGTCATATGCTCATGACACTTTAGTCCTCTTTTTTAATGGAATGCTTAGGGGAAGATAGATTTTAAAATTTTGAATTTGAATTGAATTCATAATAGTCGGCAAAAAAAAAAAGAAGAATTGAATTCATAACCGTAAAATTTGTTTGATGAGAAGGAAAAATAGACTTTTTATGGACAAAAAATATTTGATACTCCCTTCATAATTATAAGGTAATTTAAAATAAAATTATACATACTAGTAATATTTTATAAATTTACTTTTTTATAACAAAATTATAAACTTTTAAAAAATATCATTTCACACTTAATTATTACTTCCTTCGAATTAAAATATAAGACATTTGTAATTAATTAATGATTTAAAAAATATTAATTGAAACTTTAACTATTTTTAAAAAATTACATCTTTTTAATTTTAATCTTATTAAATACTCTATATAAGTACTTTAATGATAATAATTAAAATTTTAATGAATCATTTTTTTGAAAGAAAGTAATAAATAAAGTAGGAATATAGTTAAAAAAATAATTATAAAAATTATCTAATGTTTTATATTTCAAGTTAAACAAGATTTTTAAAAAATATCATATAGTATGGTTTCAAGAAAATATACTAAAATATCATTTCAATTCTCTCTCCACTTAAAAAATAATATTAAAAAATCATTAATAAAATATTAATTTGTTAAAATTGTTCTATATTTTAAAGTAAAAAGTAAAATTTTTTTCCAATATTGTCATATATTTTGTGATGGAGTAAGTATTAAAATCGGCATCTATATACATATATATATATATATATATTTTTTTTTGGGTGCCTGACCCTCTTACACACAAACAAGCGATGCAAATGAAGATTTTTTTTTTTTTTTTTTCATTTGGGCACTTCCTAGTTGACTGCGTCAAAGCAGTTGAATCTTGCCTGTCAAACTCGTTAACTTGTTTGGCCAAGAAAGTCTAAGCGCCTGTTTGGATTTCCCTTATTATGGATTATTTTGACTAAAATTATGGTTTGGGCAAAAAATACCCATACATGTCTGTTTTTTATAATCAATTATTTACACCCAAATTATGTTTTTCCATCAGGCGAGAGAAGTAGCTTACTCAATTCAATTATATCATTAGTCATTTATTATTTGTCAGAATTTTTTTCTCGCCAGACTTACCCCTCCAACTAGTTTCAACCTTTTAGATGTCATTCGAGCTTTCAACATATCTCCACTCCAACTATGCTTGGTCCTCCTCTCATCTCCATTGACACATATTCTGATGCCATCAATGGCTTGATTTCGTATTAAGGGTTTGTGTATCCTACTTCAACATATGGGAAATAAATAATGATAGTAAAGTAAATTCTTATGCTAAAATTTAATAATTTATATTTTATAAATAGATTTCAATAAATTTAATAATATTATACACCTGAAATTAATATTTACATTTTAAATAAGTAAATGCTTTTTATGGTAATTTATACATTTAAAATAGATTTGACTAAATCATCTAAACATTTTTAATTATATCAAAATCATTTAAAAAAAAAAATGCTACCTGTCTAGCAAAGTTGAGATGACTGTAATAAAACGATCATAGCACATCGCATCCAGTGAAGGTGAATTGTCCCAACAACGAAACCGAAATTGACTACAAGGCAGATAACACATTTTAATCAGATCTGATATTAACTTGTCCATTATATTGAATACACACTGCTTGTATCCAGGAGATACATTTAGAACATGAAGTAGAACAAGTACGCATGTTCAAGGATAGCAATCTGAACACAGAACTTGGGAAGGCTGTAAATTATCACAAGATCGGAAGAACCAAAATAAAAATTGAATACTAATTTATAGGACTACACAGGGCCTGGTCTTCTTTCCCTTTTTCCTTGTCTTAGGTGGCTGTAACACAACCTTGATCGCAGCATCAAACACGGCCTTCACATTCTGAACATTGCATCGAACGCACTCTATCAAGCTCAAGCAAAATTCTTAGTTCACTCCCAAAGTTTCTAGTTCATGTTGTTGCCGGTTTGCTCGAGATCAGTTATCTATCACTTAATCTTTATTACTCATTTTGTCATGCTGTTATAAGCTGGAAAACTTCATGATAAGAGAGAGAATTCTACTGCAATTTAGAGGCGTGAGTAAATGAAAAAAAGAACCTGCTGAGTTTTTGCGCTGCACTCTATGTATGAAGCAGCACCGATGGCCTTCTTCAATTCTTCTCCCTGTTGAAGGATTACAAGATTTACGTGTGACTTAAAAGGAACTTCATTCAGATTCATGCAAGCTAAACTGTGTTAGCCTTAAAACACCTTTTAACAACTTGCCTGGGCAGTAGTTATAGGCTTAGCACTAGGATGATCGATCAGATACTGCCTGTCTCCCCTCAAATCTGCAGTGATAATCATCATATATAATTGCATTGCTATCTCAGCTCATAAATTTGCAGCTTTAAACTGACGGAATTCAGTAAATTATAGTTATAGCTGAAAATACCAAGCTTGGTTCCCACAAGTATAACCGGTACATTTGGGGCATAATGTCTCAGTTCAGGAATCCACTGCAAACACAAACTCAGTGTCAGATTCTGACATCTAAAAAATGTTGCGTTTTTGGTGAATTTGAGGAGAACCTTTTTAGAGATATTCTCATAGCTGGCTCTGCTGATGAGAGAGAAGGCAAGCAAGAACACATCTGCTCCTCTGTAGCTCAAAGGCCTAAGCCTGTTATAATCCTCCTGCCCTGATCCAATCAAGCAACATTAGATCATTAAAGTAAGCTAAATCACTCTATTACCCACCTTACTTAAATTATACTTACCAGCAGTGTCCCACAATCCCAGGTTAACTGTGCTGCCATCAACCGCCACATTTGCGCTGAAGTTGTCAAAAACTGTTGGCACATAGTCCTTTCCAAGGAGAAAATGTCCTTTTTTGTCAGACACCATGCAAACCAAAACGGCAAGTTCAAACAATTTTAAGATAAACATCGTGTGTCATCATACAGTTGGGAAAGTGTTGCTGGTGTAGGAAATGAGCATGCAGGTCTTCCCCACAGCTCCATCGCCAACGGTGACACACTTGATAAATCTTGCTGTGTTCATTTCCAGAATCCTCTGTTTTCTGCACCTTATATTACTATCTTGCTGCTTCCATGACAAGAAGAATATCACTTTCACTCGAAAGTTTTGAAATAGAACTACAAAAAGGAGAGAGGACGAGGGATATTTAGATGGAAAGAGAGAGAGAAAGAGGGTTTAGTTTGAATTTGAATAGCAATGGAGGGGGAGGAGGGTAGCATTTAATAGGATGAGCCCCAAAGCACCAACTTTATTGTGTATCTTTAATCTTTACCATTATTGGCTTCGGCTTTCTGTTTCTTTAAGGGGAAGGCGTTGCTTTGATATCAGCAACGAGGGCGTTTGGTGCTGCACTAGTGTCAGTTGGTTAAGTATTGTGCAAGGCACAGGCTGAATTATGAGCATTTAGAATGTAAGTATTGCTTGCCCAACAAAGAAGCAGTGATTCAAAGCAGAACCAGTATAATGAAAATTGAAAAATCATATGGTTTAAAATGGAGGTTCACATATCACCAACGTAAGCATGATATCAAGTAGAATTAATCAATGTCATAATAAGGTGACAGAAACTGTGAATATAGTGGAAAAATTAAAACCATTCGCTTTACTTTTTCCACTGTATCACACTCCCAAGTCACTACTATATCACACTCCCAAATCTCAAATATGAATCATTTTCCTGATCTGGGCTTTACTGGATTTATCTAGCTTTATTGGGTGGTTGGCGTTATTGAAGATCCATCATGTGTTTTATCACCAAAGCAAAGTTTTTCTTATAAAATAATCTTATATATACTTTAATTAATAACCTGTGACATCTTAATATATTATGTTTCAGTACCAACTAATATTGTCTCTCTTTCTTTTAAACGGAGATCTGAATTGTTAATATACAAAGTACTTTTTCAAACTTTATTAATACACCAAGAATAATAATGTCACCCATCTTCTACTCCTTCATTTTCCTTTTCACTTTACACTTTCTCCAAGCTCTTTGAAATATGTGTTTCTGGATTTTCTTTTGCTCTCTAAGTCCTTGACAGGCTCACATAAAGCTATAGCTTGAACTGGCTGAGTTACTCTTCATATGTGAGTGAAGAATTATCTTGAAGGTTGAAGCAGACAACGGCTCCAAAAACAATGGCTTTAATTGTAATGATGAGATTACTATATGGAATCCTATCTTTCACGGTCATTGGTTTCTTCAAAGTTATCGCCGGACACCAACTTGGTCAATTTGCTTTAATAAAGAGATAAAAATCATAGTACTGAAATTATATTTTATTTTGTTATTGATGATGATTTACAAGTTATTATTCTATATTTTATATTTATATTTATAACATGTTACTCGTATTTTTTTTAATCAATTATATAATTAGAGAAAATTCAGATACTTAAATTTATACATTAATTTGACTGAAAACAAGTATTCCAAAAATATAAATTTAAATACCTAAGTTTTTTTAAAAAGCATAACATTAAATTTTTTAAGTTTTAACAATTACAAGATAAAATTTATAAAAATAATCCAATATTATTTTTGTGAATGCATGAAATATATAATAACTTAAAACTTTTTAAGAGATTACACTTACCAACTTTTAAATTCTATTGAAATATGTACATATTCTGACAAAGTATGTGTCAAAGGATTAAAAAATAAAATAATACCAAAACTCCAAAAGAAGCCTTTTATGTTTTATGGCTTATTATTAATGCAGATTAATATATTTAAGCTGACTTGAATTGCGTGGATATTAAGTTAAGTTTCATAACTTTTTAATAATTTATCTTATTATAAGTATGATATTTTATATTGATACTGATATATTAATAAACTATCTAATTTTGTTTGAAATAAAAAATTATCTCGTTAAAAAAATATAAACTTATATCCTGGCTGGGATATTTTGCTTTATACATTATATAAAGTAAAAACGAATTACTTTTATTTTCACATAAAAAAAGGATTACTATTTACTTCTATTATTTATTTTTAATAATTAACTTATTTTCTAACTTTAATGTAAATAATTTTGAAAATTCTAAATCCCTTATTATGTCAAGGTTTGCTTAGGAAGTAAAAAAATGATAACCGACAATCTGAATAAATCACACTTCTTCTCAGTTCTCACTGTTGACGGGAGACGTTCCCTTCGGTTTAGGCTGAAAAAGACGACCAAGTCAACACTACAGCTACAATGAACGCAGCTGGATATACATTGGCTCGTCTGTGAGAAGTGAGAGCAGAAACATTCTCCGACATTAAGATGGGAAAATCTTGCCTCGTCCATTTCATCTGCCTCTCGTTCCTTCTAGCTTCTACAGCTTATTGCTTCTCACACCCTCCTCTCCTTGGAGTTCACCCCCTAGGTATTTCTGGATATCCTTCGTCTTTATGCAGTACCTTGTTTGAAATAAATGAAGTTTGAACCTTTTAAGTAGTGGGTGTGCGCCATTTAGCTATTATTGTAAATCTTTTGTTAAAAATTTTAATTGGGTTCTGTGGATGCAGATGAGAAATATTACAGGTCAGAATTGATCAAATGCAAGGATGGAACAAAATCTTTTCCCAGACATCGTCTCAATGACAATTTTTGCGACTGCACCGATGGCACTGATGAACCTGGTACCAGTTATAGTCCCTAAAATCATAACTTAAATGTGGAAGTTTAAGATATAGGTATTTGCATATTGGGTATCAAATTACAGTTATGGTACTGTCGAAGTCGATCAAAGGAAATATGAACTTAACCTTTTCAGGCGATCAAGGGATTATGGAAGATTCTATTAACGTGTTTCCTAGTAGTCTAGGGAAATGATGGTTTATGGTCGTTTTAATCCTAATTTGTTGTTCTTTGTTTGAAATTTGAATTCAGAGCTCAGAAAATCATGAGTCTATGCTTTCATTACTTCTATGTCCAGTGTTATACTGAATGAGTTCACGTGTTTTCTCTGTTTGGTCCCCCGCTTATGCTTCAAAATGTGTCCGGTTCTTCCTTTCTGATTTCTTTTCTGGTTAAGCTAAATTTTGACAAGAAGGAATCCTGTATGATAGCTACTCTGCTACAGTGGTAATGCTTAACTTAATTTTCTGATTTAGTTATTAATACTTTCTATTATTATTTAATATTTAGACACTGTCTATTGCTGCCAGCTGACACAGTCGTAGTTCTCTTTCTAGTCCATGTGTTAACAGAGACGTGTGTGTGTAGTAATATCTGTGGGTAAAATAAAATATGTTAAGTAATGACCACGCCTTCATATGTTCCCAAAAAAAAAAATTGATATACTTGTACTTTTATTAAAATTCCCTACGATTTATTACTTGATTGTTGCTTGTAAATAAAATACATTAATTGATTGTTGATAGCACAGTGTTGTTTTTGTGATTACAGGAACTTCAGCTTGTCCAACTGGAAAATTTTATTGTCAAAACTTAGGAAGCAAGCCACAGTTCATATTTTCTTCTCGCGTTAATGATCTATTTTGTGGTAAGCAAAAAAGGTCTCATTTGTTAAATTTTATATTTTTTTTTCTCTCCTTCTCCCTTGCTATTTTTTTTTTCCAATTTATTTTTTCGGAGTTGCTACTTAAGGCATGCTTTTTGTATAACATTTTGTTCCCACATAGAAGCATTGTGTTCTTGAGATGGGTAGTAAATGTCTTCCTTTCAAGGTTTATAAGAATTTTGAGGAACCTAACTTTGCACTACAGTTTTTTTGCCTTTCGTCTCTATTTCCTCACTCTTCAATATCAATAAAGCTAAGTAGTTAAGGGGATTTGACAAAAGATTTCTTGATAATTGTTGCTTTTATTCTACTGAGTCTTAACCCTATTTAAACACATTGCTTATGTGAGATTAAATGATGTGGTTGACCTATATTTAATGTAAATATTATTTATTAATAAAGGGGATACTGTGAGGAGTAAAAATAGGGATTTTGTAGATATCCTATTCCCGAATATCCTCTCCTGATTCCATCTCCTGATTTCTTGGAGATTTGATCATCTTCTCACATGTATAAATCAGTGTACATACTCTGGGATTCAATAATAAGAGTTTTTCGGTCTATTTGCTACATGGTATCAAAGCTACTAGCAGATATCGACGCCGAAAACTCTGAGACAGAAAGCACCGAAGACGAGACACAAGAGTTGCACCCGATTCACACTTCTCCAATGTCGAAGAGTGATGGGTCCTCGCAAATCGATCCAGATAAGGCCGGTAGTCCCCTCGGGTCGATCACTGGTCATGACGGATCATCGGTGCTCGTGGTTACCATGAAACTCAATGGCTCGAATTATCGGGTATGGGCACAGGCTATGCGACTTGCGATTGGAGGCCGAGGGAAGATGGGTTACCTCGATGGCTCATCAAAAATTCCAGAAGAGTCCAGAACGCAGGAGCTACAGCGATGGCATACCGAAAATTCGTTGGTATCATCGTGGCTGATCAATGCCATGATTCCGGAAATTCAACAGAGCTTCATATTTCTTCCATCAGCTCATGAAATCTGGAAAGCTGTGCGAGATTCATACTCTGATGGGAAGGATTTGGCGCGAATATATGAGCTTAAAACAAAAGCATGGTCACTGCAGCAGGGAGAACGTGATGTCACGGCTTTCTGGCTGGAGCTGAATACCATCTGGCAGGAATTAGACTTGATGACAGAAGTGGAATGGTCTAGCAGTAATGATGCAATCCATTATAAGGAGCAAGTCGAGAATGAACGGGTGTTTCAGTTTCTTGCAGGACTGAATCAATCTCTAGATGATGTACGGGGGTGCGTTCTGAGCCGTATGCCACTTCCATCCACTAGAGAAGTATTCTCAGAGGTACGTCGAGAGGCTTCAAGACGCAAGGTAATGACTCCTGGAGCTATTTCTGCACCAACTTCTTCCTTGGACACTGCTGCACTTGTGAGCAAGGGCAGTGATTCAAATCATAAGAACCAAAAGGGGAAGGTCACTTGTGAACATTGCAAGAAGATTGGGCATACCCGTGACACTTGTTGGGATATACATGGAAAGCCAGCCGATTGGAAGCCGAAAAAGGGCAAGCAACGAAGTTATCAAACTTCTCATGATGTACCGCCAGATAAACCAGACTCAATACCTGAAATTGATAAGGAGCAACTAGGTAAGCTACTTGAGATGCTTAGTGTGTTGCAGAAGAATGAGAAAAACCAGAAACTGAATCCTACTGCATCTGTGGCTCACAAAGGTAAATGTGCCTTACTTACTTCTAATAGTAACCCCAAATGGATTGTTGATACTGGGGC